AAATTTGCCCCGTAGACACGAGAAATGGATGTAACGGTGAAACACCGCGACTACAACCCACCCTTCTGCTTAGAAAACGTTTTTTGGGGTGGGGGAGGGAGTTTCTTACCTCTTTTGCGGTTTTGGGCCTTCTTTTACATTTAATTGTTCACTACAGCAGCAATTTTAAACTTATTTTCGTCAAACAAGACCCTCTAGCGCCTAAACGGTTAGAGATAGAGCCAAACGGACGAAATTTACGCCCAAAGGGCTCTACTTTGACAAGTTACCCTTGAGGAGACCATTCAATATTTTCGGAAATATAATAAAAAAAATTGGGCCACTTTTGTTAGAGAAACTCCCTCTAGCGCCCAAACGGTAAAAGATAGAGCAAAACGGACGAAATTTTCGCCCAAAGGGCTCTACTTTTGCAAGTTATCCCTAAGGAGACCATCTAATGTTTTCTAAAATTAATTTGTTTATTTTTGGGCCACTTTCGTGATAGAAACTCCCTCTAGCGCCTAAACGGTGAGAGATAGAGCAAAACGGACGAAATTTTCGCCCGTAGGGCTCCATTTTGACGAGTTACCCTTCAGGAGCTCTTAAATAAATATTTTTTTCTGACTTTTTTGACCTACCCCCTTTTCTTAGATACCCCCTTTCAGCCCCTTAGGGTTGGTTGCCAGGATTTGCCGTAGGCGTTTCGTTTTCTAGGAGTGAACCTCAAGATACCCTGAAAATTTGAAGTTTCTAGCACATCTCCTTCTAGTGGAACAGACAGACAGACACACAGACACACAGACACACAGACACACAGACAGACACACAGACACGAGGTCGTTTGCATAAGGGGCCGTTCACAAATTACGTCACGCATCTGCCGGGGGGGAGGGGGTCTCTGCCCGCGTGACGGTCCTATCCTAAAAGCATTAGAAGGTTAGGTTAGCCGCGTGACGTGGGGGAGGGGGGGAGTCAGAACCGCCTGAAATTTGCGTGACGTAATTTGTGAACGGCCCCTAAGCCCGCTGGATAGCTTTTTCAAAGCAGAAGGGCGGGCTGAAAATAAAAATTGTAGGGACTCCCAAATGGCCCTTATTCTGAGAATCACCCTACTAATAATCGAAAAATTGCGCGTGGCCTATTTGGTGATACTCGCTGAGTCACTGAGATCCGTTTTGTGATAAATGTGTGTAAAATTTTACTAAATTTTTGCTTGTTTACTGGTGTTTTGCGATTCCCACGATAAAAGACATGATACCTCCATAAAATGTGATAAAAGTATCACAATAATGTGATACTTTTATCACATTTTTTGGTGTTAGCGTGGGAATTGCAAAACCCCAGTTATCGCATGGTTTTGTGTTAAAAGTATCGCAAAACCAGACTCGTTGGTATTACTGGGAAAAACAAAAAGAAAAGGTTTAAAATGTCGTCAAAATTGTGAAAGTCAAAGTTTACATTCTCCTCAGCACAAGCACATTGAATCCAGTTCAATCGGCTTTTGGTATATTTTTCTGAGGTCAAAGTCAAAACTTTGTTCTTTGCGCCGAGGCTGGTGTGAACAGTTAACAGGAGGGCCATGGCAGCGATTTGTCATTATGTGCCGCTCTCACCAAGTGCCCTACCCTCCCTTAAATGACCTCAGACCTCACTTTGAGACAGCTTAAAATCAGTTTTTCATATTTTGAAGTTATTCATCATCTACAGCTTTTAACAACACATAAATGGCGTTCTTTTAGTTCTTGGATGACTTGTTTTGGAAAGTCAATACAGACCATGTGTGTTTGAAAATGTGGAACTTACAGATTTATTGTGAAATCCTTTTAACATCAATGATGCAGATAGCTTGCTATTTTGAAAAATGTTTCTTGATATCATGTATGACAGTGTTCCACACATCCGTGGCAGCAGTTGGACAATGAACGAAGTCATTATGACCAAAGTTCGTATTCTCTGAATAATAGAACCGTTTCACGTTCGGCAGTGTTGCCTGGAGCAGCAGCTGATCCTGAAAATAAAAGTTTCAGTTTCATGTTCATGTAGGATGTTCTAGGGAACTGTCGCATTTTGTGGTGCCGGTCCCTTAGTAGAATATGTGGAGAAAGTCATTTCGCTAGGCTCGACTCACTTTGATACAACAAAGAACTAACCGCTGGATAAGTCCGCCATAATGCGAGAAAACCCCTCGGAATATAAGTTTATTACCTGTCGCCAAACCCTTGTTTGTTCCAGTGCAGTCTAATTGACTATGAACGATCATTGCAACTAGCACCGGGGTGAATAACATCATAGCAAATAATGAAATATCACTCTTCTGGAAAACAAGTCTGAAGTGCGAATGTTGTAGAGTCACTAGGCTACACGTTCACGTACCTTGAGCGTGCTTGTAGTATCGCCGTAACCATTGTACAAAAACACAGGATTCTTCACGAGTTTTATATTGAAGTCTGGTGGCGCACTAGTCCCATAACGGACTCTGTTCTCTTCCGCGGATCCGTAGTTAAACTTCCGAAATCCAGGCCCTGTTCAAAACAAGTTAAATCATTTTGTAGTGGTCAAAATGAAAACGACTTCTTACAGATTCTCGTTTAACTATCCCGAACTTAAACGTAAACTTTTCTACTACGTCTTCTTACATTATGTCCCCTACGCACAACACTAATCGTGTAATGATTTGCGTAGTCAAGGCCTAAATGAAGAGGACTTACATTTAGGGTCACATAGCTGCGCAAAATGAAGAATTTGCCACAACGACGCGCCATTTGGGAAGAAAAAGTTGGAATCATAGCGCTGAAACACACAACATCACCATAAAAAAATGTTGGGAATTCTACCACAACCATATGTACAGGATATTTCCCATACGCCCTACAGGGCGTAACAATTACCAGAAATGTATATGAATTCGGGAAGGTGTGTATGGGAAAATGAACTAAGCGCACAGCTAGAACTCTAGAACTGTGTACGAGATGCGCTTCGTGTCTGGTAGGGTAGGCACATTTTATGTCGAAGCAGGCGAAGCTTAGCTGCTAAATTTTCGGAGCACATTCGGAGGACCCCTAGGGAATAGCTGATGACAATTGACTCAAAGCCACTGGCAACTAGCAGTTAAACAGTGATCAGTACCAACTTTCGTTCAGAGTTCGTACAGAACTAACTTGCCTACCCGGTGACAAATGAAATATCAGAGCGATAACGAAACGATATTGAATATCAGATATGTTTCAGTTTGAGGACCAACTCAGTATCGAAGGGATGCGAAAATTGAGGGATGATATCGTTCCGATAACAGTCCGATATTTCAATTCTCACGGGGTATAAAGCGAAATAATAGGATAACTGCAAATCTATCATTTATCAGTAGCAGTAAACTGCCTGTAATTTACGAAAATTTTGAACTACTGTTTCTTTGCACATTACTTTACACTAAACATCTTATGGTCGAATCACCTGGTGGTTATAACAGTTCCCAATTTATTTAAGACCGAATGCAGCCTGTTCGCCTGAGAAAGTACCTAGGTAACTACCGTATAACACTTACTCAGTTGTTCACTGCTGACTCTTTTCACCTTCTTACTGCACCGTGCTAACAGGTAACTACCCGAATCCTTCCCTTTCCACTTTATCATTTCACATTTCTTCCTACGGTATACACTTACAAAATTATGTAGAGTGCCGGGCCCAACTGCCAAGCACATCTTCTGGAAGTTGGGTGCTTTTTGAAGTACTCTTCCCTCACACATTTTATCAGCAAGTTTCTGAAGGAGCTGAGTAGGCTTATTATGAAGCTTAAAATCGTCTGCAGCTTTCTGTTGCAACACGTTACAGATGGAATTAACAATATCCTTTTCTGAGGGTGGGTGAATAATTAGTCAGAGTTGAGAAGTTGTGAGGACTGACCCACCAGTGTCTCGTTGGCGATTGACTGCAGTGCGAGGAGATGGGCATCCTTGGTGTGGGTCATGAACACTGCAGGCGCGAAGAGGAAGGCAGCGCTAATCTTCGGGAGGAGGTCTGGTCGTGCAGCCGCCGTGACAAAGAATGTGGTGCCCCCCATGGAGTGGCCAGCAAACACAAGCTGCTGCTGACCCGACTGCTTTAGCACGTAGTCGATCAGGGCGGGATTGTCCAACTCGCCATTTTCCTGCCAGCTGCGAGAACGCAGGTTAAAATATACTGTTCATCACGAATGTAATACAACTATTTGCACTAGTGTAATCATCCCACGTTGTGTCGCGTTCCCGTGAGGATCGTCTAGTGCCCTGGAACGGGAGGAGACTTACCCAAATTTCCAGAATCTGTCATCCGTGCTGTTCAGGTGGATGTGACGACAAGAGACCGGAGTTCCTCGGAAATTCCCCATCCAGACATCGAAACCAGCATCGTAAAGAAGAAAACCTGGAACAAATAAGAGTTACACAGAGATGAAGCTAAAATGTGCACTACATGGTAGTGTTTTAAAAATACCGGTAAAGTTAAAAGTGAACTTTAGTTTACGTAAAGAACGGTATAGTACGGTAAAGTGCGGTATAGTGCGGTAAAGTGCGGTCAAGTTAGTAAAGTTTTATTGGCTGAGCGATTAGCGAAGCCCATTACTCCACTGACCGGAAAAGTTTCATTCTGTTTGTTTGTATGTTTGTATGTTTGTTTGTCTGTCTGTCTGTCCGCACGATAACTCGAGAACGAAATGAGAGAGCGATCTGGGAATTTCAGGGTCGTTTTGCATCATGAAAAGACAGATCGAGTTCAAAGATGAGCATTCTAGCTCAAAAATTGGCTTTTTAAAAAATCAAAAACTACAGGTCGCAAAATGTATTTTTATCAAATATTTTTTTTATGCGTTCCTAGGGGGTAAGGCAAAAATTTTGTCCGTTTGGCTCTATCTTGTACCGTTTAGGTGCTAGGGGGCATTTCTTGACAAAAATGAGCCGAAAATGATCAAATGGTCGATTAAATCATTAAAAAGACTTCATTTCGAAAAATTGTATATTCACTCCTATTACCCCGTCTCGGGTGTCAGCGCCGCAGGCCTAGCTATATGTGCGCCAGGCGCGTCGCAGCGTAACAGTGTTTCGTGAGATATCGCGAAGCCTGTTACGCGAGACGTGGTCTGGCGTACATATAGCTAGTTTTAAAGTAATTCATGCCAATTTTCTTTTTCTTAATGCAATTTTAGGCTTTAGGGGTACAAAATATCGAAAAATTTAGCACTGTAGCATTGGAAACAGAAAACTTTTTGGCTGAGCGATTAGCGAAGCCTATTACTCCGTCTAGTCGGAAAAAACTTTGTCTGTCTGTCTGTCTGCACGTCTGCCTGTCTGTCCGCACGATAACTCGAGAACGAGTTGAGCGAGCGACCTGGGATTTTCAGGGTAGTTTCGTGCCATCAAAAGACAGGTCGAGTTCAAAGATGAGCATTCTAGCTCAAAAATTGGATTTTTTAAAAATCAAAAACAACGAGTCCGAAAAATGACGTTTTTTAAAAATATTTTTGTATGGTTTCCTTCGGGGTAACTCATCAAAGTAGAGCCCAATGGGCGAAAATTTTGTCCGTTTTGCTCTAGCTCAAACCGTTGAGGCGGTAGAGGGTATTTTTGACGAAAATAAGCGATAAAATGTACAACCCTGCATGCTTAGTCGAAGTGATGGGCCGTAGGCCCGTATCTTTGTGTACATATTGCCACTACCCGACACGGGTGTCAGCGCCGCAGGCCAAGGTAGATGTATGCCAGGCGCGTCGCAGCGTAACAGTGTTTCGTGAGATATCGCGAAGCCTGTTACGCGAGACGTGGTCCGGCGTACATCTACCTTGTAATAAATACTGCAATGTGGGAGCTTAAGTCCGAAAGATCCTTCGAGTACAATAAAATGCCACAACCACTTTATTGCTCCAAGTGCTCCACAGGGTTGGCTACAACAGAGAGGCCGGAAATGCCTTCTCGACGAGGGGTACCCAACTCGCCAAAATCGCGTACAAAGACTGGAAATAGGAATGACTGTAGTTGATTGTAGTATATTGGTATGACTGTAAAATACTGTAGAGACTGTAGATAAGAAAATGATTGTGTGCGATTACATTTGACTGGAGGTGGGACTGGAGGTGACTGGAAAGTGACTGGAAGTGACTGGAAGTGACTGGAAGTGATTGGAGGTGATTGGAGGTGTGACTGGAAGAGACTATGGAGGTGACTGGAAGAGACTATGGAGGTGACTGGAGAAGCTGCAACATGAGTAAAGTAGACGTCGGTAACACCGCGTTAAGTAGGCAACCTATAATACAACAGGCAGAGGTTGGCAGTTGACTAGAGTTGACAGGGTGACTGGAGGTGACTGGAGGTGACTAGAGGTGTGCCTGGAGGTGATTGGAGCTGACTGGAGCTGACTGGAGGTGATTGTAAAGATTGGTGAGACTGTAGACAGACTGGAAAAGACTGGGAAGATTGGAGTTGATTGTGAATGATTATAATTTGATTACTTTGCGAAGTGTACGAAGACTGGACCAAGTTGGGTACCCCTCGCTTCTCGACATAATACCACAACACGCAGGCCCGCCCTTCCGCCAAACGGAGTTGCCAGCTCCGCTTCGCTGGGCCGGCAACTCCGTTCGGCAGGGGCCGGGCCTGCTTGGCCTGCCGGCGGCGACGCTCGGGCCTGCGGCCGTCGTCATTAAAATTTGCCCCTTAGACGCATGAGAAAGGAATGTAACGGTGACGCACCGTGACTACAACCCACCCTTCTGCTTAGAAAAACTTCTTTTTTAAGGGGGGGGGGGGGCTTCCTGTACAACTAAATGTTAACTACAGCAATTTTTAGCTTATTTTCGTCAAAAAAGACCCTCCAGCCTCCAGCGCCCAAACGGTGAGAGATGGAGCCAAACGGAGAAAATTTTAGAGCGAAGGGTTCTACTTTCACGGGTTACCCCTTAGGAGATCATAAAAAAATATTTTTAAACGAACCAGTTTCTACCACACGCGCCACGCGCGGGGGGCCAGAGCGTCATGTCGCCGCGACCACCTGTTGCATCTCAATTCCACATTACCTCAGTACCGCCAACAATGAACAAAACACTGTGCGACGTCTTATGTTACGTCTTATGTTACGTCTTACGTTACGTCTTACGTTACGTCTTACGTTACGTCTTGTAAGGTACGCCGGACGCAGGGCGACCGGCGATTCTTGAGTCTTTGAATATCCCGCCGTGTCAGGCCAGACGCAAGGGCCAGCGCGTTGGAGCAAAACTGCATAGTTCAGCAGAATAGGGATGGACACA